TCACTGCAAGAGGATACCTTGAAAAGTTTTTCACATGTAAGATCTTTATCATGAAAGTCCATCATATTTTCATCTTCAGTGTCTTCAGTTGCACGAACAGCAACAGTGAGAACGATCAAGATAAGGAAGAGAAAATCAAAAGTTTTCATGTTTGATGGTTTTTTTTTTTTGTTACTTATGAAAGAAAGGATTAGAAAGTTATTGTGATCAACCATTCAATTGTGATCCTCAAACCGCTGAAAAATATTGGACAAAAATTGAAGATGTTTGTGCTGATGAATTGAATCATAAAGTAGATTGGAGCAGTGATCCTAAAAAAATGGATAGAAATACGATTCTGGTCTTTGGTACTTTATTCAGTTATTATTTTGGAATTCCCACAAACCATGCTTATTGTTATAAGTCTTCAGATTCCGATGGTAAATAATCTCGTTTACACATATTATCTCAGGTTAATCTGCATCAGCCGTAGCAATTATTAATGAATTTAATACAATAACCCTTTATATTTCTTTTAATTAAATAGAATTTTGCATGGTTAAAACTACCAAGAACATCTTGGAATATGCCAAGAAAGCTACCGATGAAGATCCGAAACCCAGTTTCTCCCTTGATTTCAAATACGTTTACAAGAAGGATGGTACTAAAATACCCATTCCTAAGAAGCTTTTCTGTGGTGAAAAATGTGCCAAGTCAATAATCAAAATATACAAATCTTGGATCAAACATTACAAATTAAGTCCCAAAGTAATCGAAAATGTTTTCGGTTCTGAAGATGGATTTGATGATCATCTTGATTGTAAAACTGATGATAAACGAGATACTCGAACATCTGGTTCTTGTTTATCACCTCTTCATTCTTCATTTCTTTTTTAATTAATTTCTATATATTTTGAATTACCTTTTGAACTTTGTGAATTGTTTGACTCTAGTAATAATAATGGTAATTAGTGATAGCAATAACCAAATATACTTAGTACATGCTTTTTTATCCCTTAACGTTGAAGCTATAAATATGCAATAAAGTTTAATTAAATAGTTTTATCGTTTCAATATAAAGTATCTCATATTCTGATATATATTTTAATTGTGTATGATCAATTATTTGTATACACCTACTGCCTACACGTACGTACGTATGTACTGTACGTACAAGTATGCAATATGCGTATGTAGGTCAAAATTGATTCTGCGGTTTATTTGTGGAATCCGCAGTTAGGAAGAATTCAGCTAACTTGTGCGGCTTAAATATTTAATTAAACCTTTAATCGCAAAGAATAAAATTAATCATTGCTATATATTATTAAATAGTCCGACAATTTATTTTACTTGCAAATTATGCACCGAAATTAACGTATAAAAATGTGCAGATTTGATCTGCGCAGTACGTGTTTATTTGTTATATTATAATTTCCAATATTAAATTCTAATTTTGATAAATAATAACGAATTTTTGAATAAAATAAAAAAATTGG